AAATTTTCTTAGTCGATCGTCGGGAGAATTAACGATCGACTATCGATTAATCATTAATATTTTTATAATAAAATTAATTATTTAACTTTTATAATTCAAAAATGCAATGAATACAAAAATACAGCGTGTTTTTCCTCGATGAGACCTTTATTACAAGATCAACTTGTGGCAGACAGTTAAACTACGTTCAGTTAGGCAAACCGAACATATATGCGCGTGCATATGCGGTGCTCTAAAGCAGCGGAACCTGCAGCTGCGAGCCGGCGTTCTTAAACAGAGACCTCATTTGTTCCAAAATAATAATAATAAAAAAGAATCATGTTAAACAATAACTTAAACAAAAAACATAATAATACTTAGATCTGACAGGTTTTGTCAAAATGTAACTCAAAACTATCCAAGCCAGAAGAAAGGGCCAGATATTAGCCTTCCTAACAATTAGGCTAACTTAACAAATTAGGCTACTTAAAGCCTTGTGAAAAATAACTAACTTTAGTAACTCGCATACAACTTCTGCACCAGTCTACTGATTTTTGTTGAGAAATATAAGCATGTTGACATGAACTGGGGTCAGACGCAACCGCAACCGGGATGCACAGGTACCTCCTCGCTAACTTGGCCAGCCCGGGGAACCTTATTCCGTTCACTTTCCACCAGTCTGTAGGTGTGCAATTCAGGGGTGGGGGAGTCTCCCTCAGAAAGTTCTGAAGTTCTGCTTCGATGCCAGCCTCGCATTGAGTGGTATAGTGATCCCCAAGGAGTTGTGCCATAGCAGATGACTGGGAGGTCGCGACTTCAGTGTTTGCGCTCCCCTCGATCGTGTCAGACAACGCAGCCTCGACTGCCCCAGCCTGTTGGATAGCCGCCCTATCGGTCCCCACTGCCTCTCCCAGTTCAATCAGTTTCACATTAGCAGCCAGTCTCTGTGTTGGTGTAAGAAAGCCCAGGTGTTTGTGACGAGGGTCCAGCATTGATGAGATCATGGGGGCAAATGACACAAACTCACCAGACTCAATCTGTATAAATATATGATGGGGAATCAATAATCAGAAAACGTTGTATTTTTTTGTTGTTTATTTTATGAATAAAATTTATATTAAAATTTATATTTGTATGGAGTAAGAGTAACAGTTTTATTCTTTGCGGGGCTTATTGCTTAAATCTAAATAGGTAACGAATTAACGAATACATGTGTTATAATAACGTTATATTTTTTATTGTTTATTTTATGAATAAAATAAATATTAAAATGAATATTTTTATGGAGTAACAATTTGATTCTTCGCGGGGCTTATTGCTTAAATCTAAAAAGGTAACACGCAGATAACAGGAAAGTATCCATGTAATTATGTATATGTAAACTAAGATAAAAAAAAGTTTAGCTTACATTCATTCGTTGGATGAGAGAGGAACGCACCACTCTGGTGGGACTGTTGGCAGCTACAATATTGGCCGCGTTGTCATGAACGGATGCAATAACTCGGCCTTTAAGTCCCCACTGCTCTACAGCTCCATTAATTTTCTCAGCGAGGTGGTCAGCTGTATGCTGGCCTGGCAGGCTTTCTGTGAGCAGGACCGCTGAGTTCATTTGCCAGTCATCACTGATGTAGTGGCAGGTTATGGTGATGTAGCTCTCAGCTGTTAAAGCGGTACAGCAGTCTGTAGTTAGAGCAACTCTCTCAGCTTTGCTCAATTCTTTTAACAGCTGCTGCTTTCGTTCTTCATAGTGAGTTTCTATCTGTCTAGTGATGGTACGTCGTGATGGAATTTGATATGCTGGTTCCAATAAATGTATCAGTTCTCGAAAACCATTGCCCTCAACAATACTTAAGGGCAGAATATCCATCTCAATGAACTTGCAGATCCCTTGGGTAATGTTCTCTGCTCGTTGTGCATCACAGCTCCGAGTCTGTGCTAACGCCGACTTGATGCTAGGTTGAGACTGAGAGCAGGATGCACCGCCACCGACATTAACCAGGGACGGATGCACTTT